GAGAATAATTATAACTGGAGCGGCATAGTCGGTGGCTAAGAAAATCTTTCTCTCAGGCAGCGCTCAGACTTCGCGACGGCAGCGCGCGTTCGCCGCGAACGATGCGCATAATGCGCATACATTTACGCACAATAGCGTCGAACAACGACAGAAGCGCGGCCGTCGCAAAGTCTGAACGCTGCCTGAGGCAGTGCGCCGCGCTTGCTCTTTCTTTCGGAATCGAATCGGTGATTCTTAAAGGCAGCGCAATGAGTTAAGTGAAAGGTTTTTGACAGGGGTTAGTAACAGAAGTGCAAGTGTTAGCTGAGTTGCCCGACAAGAAAAAAGTAGAGGAAACTGTGTGCTAAGCGAGAGATCGACGTGGATATCGGGCGAGGGTCCAGAGAACGCAGCGAGAGAGCATGCAAACGAAGGAGAGCGTAGATAAGACATCTATCAACTTGGGCGGAGTCACTTGAGCAACCTTGCGCCTTACCGCCGCTACCTTCACCACTTTCTGACGTGAAACTTATACAGGACTGTTCGTTGCAGTGCACACTACCTCTCCATACGATTAACTTAGACAGTTATACCTGATCGCAGGCTCTGCCTTTAAGTCTTAATTCACTACCATAAACAAACTATCTCGCCGCTTCTGCGCCACACCGGCTCCCACTTCACGGTACGACTCGAATCGATTGCCGCACACGTACCACGCGCGAGGGTTTGCGATGTCGCGTAGTGACCTCGTGCTACACACTCGGAGTAACAAGGAACTAACAACGTACATTTCAAAGGTCTGAACGTAATTCACGTTGTTACTCATTTCTGCCTGTAAGGCTCAGCTTAGATTACAGTCTTGGAATGAGGCAATGTTCACCCTAGTAGAATAAGCTTTACAGTTCAGTCAATTTGAATGAATCATGTCCTTTGAGTTTTTTGAATAAACAATGTTACCACACATTCAGATGAAATGAGACTGCAGCACAATACAATACAGCACAATACTCCGAAGTTCAGTAAATGACACGATAGAAGGATGTTCTCTGTTCAATGACCGTTTCGGAAGATGAAATAAGCATTTCAAATTCAATTACCTCTTTGAAACTGGGTACGTCATCTACAGCGAATACCAGTAAGAACGCACTGGCTGAGGCTATCGAAAGTTTACGCATGTCCGGAAAATTGAAATTGGTGTCGAGAATATCCAAAGGTAATGGAACACCCTGAAACGCTCGGATTTCTATCTAATATCTAAAATTTAAAAAATCTGAAGGAGGGTATTTTAAGTGTATTGAGCTTTGAAATATCCATCTAGGAAAAGAAGGAAAAACCGATTGTTAGGGGAAAAATGAAGCTATATGCCTCGCTAGGCGCCTCTCTCCAGTGAGGCGAAGCAACGTCATGTTATGACAACGACCGAGCCATCTTGGAAGCCTTCTATAACGATAAATAACGGTGTCTCGGTGAGAGCGTGCACACGAGCAGACATGACTTGACTAGGTATAACTGCGAGTGGTCCCTTCAAAAATGTATAGAAGGGGAAAATCATATAAACGGAATAGAATGCCATTCGTAGTCTGCGACTGCGAGCCTTTTCTTCGGCTTCTGACTCTGGTGAATTCTGAAAACGCCAAAGCATGCGTGAGAAAACGGCACACCACTCTAGAAGGCCAGAACCGCTGGCACATTACAAGCACCCGAAGAGGACAATAACGGCTGGCGATAAAGGAGACTGGTTGTTCAGTGATTCCCCTCACACTAGCCTCATCTTCCTACTCTCCCTTTCATCCAGCTGCCCTTCAAAGTTTGTCGACCGGGGAGAAAGGTATGTGGGTACACGCGGTACTATCTTTCGTGTTGCCTTGGACATCTGCGTTTCCGGCAGTAAACAATAAGTAATTTCTAGTTGGAGCGCAAAAGTTCTCCGCAGTACGTACAGAGTATTCGAGTAGGATGAGACCAGAATGTCAGGAGGGAGTAAGGGCCTCCACAATCAACTACAAAAAACAGTGGTGGTATGGTAGTTTGGCGGCGCCGCTTACTTGGGGCTCAGATAACCAAATTCTGCCCCTTCCTTGAAGGCTAAACGGAGCCTCGCTTCCGATGTGCGATGTGGACTATGTGGTTTCCTCAAAGATATTATACAGGAATTCTGCTCTCCAACAGAAAAAGCATAGGCTAAGTTCATACTTCGTGGCAGCGTTCACCAGTCCAACAGCGTCCACCAGCGTTCCCGAGCGTTTGGCAGCGTCAGCGACTAGGAAAGTATAGATATTGATCTAGCGTCTGTCAGCGTCTACCAGTGTCTCCAGCGTCTACCAGCGTGCGCCGGCGTCTCGAGGGCTAGGGATATAGGCATCGATCTAGCGTCTGCCAGCGTGCACCAGCGTCTACCAGCGTCCGTGAGAGGAGAGTATGGCGCGATAGGAGGGTAGTCTATACTACTACCATACTCTCTACCAGCAGACTACTGCCCTCTTATCTGCCCATACCCTACCAGCTCTCTGCTACCCTCCCATCGCGCCATACTCTCCTCTTGGTAGACGCTGGTGCACGCTGGCAGACGCTGGCAGACGCTAGATCGATATCTATACTTTCCTAGTCGCTGACGCTGCCGGACGCTCGGAACGCTGATGGTGGACGCTATTGGTCGCTGGTGGACGCTGCCGCAAAGTATGAACGCAGTGTTACGAGCTAGCTGAGATTTCTTCGGAAAACCTTTTAAATTCTAAACTTAACCACTGATATTTCATCAGCAAGATCCCAAGAAAACCGTCGAAGGGGGGGGGAAGACGGTACGAGACGAAAACAGGAAAATCAATCCTAAAAAAGGTGTTGCCAAGCTCGCGCGACCCTACCCTGTCCCAACTAATAAATAACGACCTTCGGGATCCCCAGCAGTATATACTGAATGTCACGGAACGCTGAGGCAGTGCAAGTTTTTCCAGAGAGGCGTCCACCAGTTATTCAATTAATAGCTATTTTGTACCTTAATGGGGCAATTGTAGCAACGAAACTGGTTGCCCTTAACAAGGACAACATTTTGTACTTTTTTTCGAAATTTTTACATTAGCATGAATTTTTAGTGAACGCTTACCTGGATTCTAAATTGCCGCGAATGAAGATCCTCAATAGTTTCTTTATACTTCTCAGAGAATTCGTTATAGAGATATCGTCGTATAAGATTCGTTTTTCCAACTTTAGCCGAGCCAAGTACGACAAGTCGATATCGTTCTTCACTCATCTGAAAATTAATGCTACACGAGTGAAGGAGCACCTGTTCACGTGTGACGTGAAAAGAATAAACAGTACAAGACAAGTTAAACAGCAGTATCTGAGATTACTGAGATGAATAAATGATGAGGCGTGTCTAATGCAAATCAGTTCTCATCTATCTCATGCACTGCACGGGCAAATTGTTGGGATGTGAAACGAGCAAGCACGCGAACATGATCTTGCCCTATGAGAATGTGAGAAGAAAAGTTGGAAAGAGGATCGTAAATCGGAAACCGAAAACAAGGATGTAAAGTGACTTAGTCGAAAAATCAAAGACAAACCCATACTGCATATTGGACATAGTGGTGTTCAATAGCGAATGTATAGTCCCTAAATAACTCTAAAGGAAAGAAAAAAGCAAACGAAATCATGGGTACACCCTAGTAAGGTCTTTCAGCCTCTCTGGACGAGTTTTCCGGACCATCTGAAGTTATGCCAGCAAGGCGATATCCTGCCGCATCTGGCTCATTAGTCGTTTCTTCCGCGTTATTTAAGGGTAATACCATCTGACAGTGAGAAAAAGAACGAAAAACAAGGTGTAAAAACTGAAGTTGTGACAGAAAATAGCCTTCGAGTTTTGTTGGGTTGGACATCTATGTAGGAAGGCGTCAGAACTGCCACTTAGGCTGCGTTCGTACTTTACGGCAGCGTCCACCTGCGACCCCTAGCGTTCCAGCACCAGCGACTAGGAAATTGTAGATATCGATTTAGCGTCTGCCAGCGTGTACCAGGGTCTGCTAGCGTCGTGTGGGTCAGGAAAGTGTAGGTATCGATCCAGCGTCTGCCAGCGTTCACCAGCGACCGGGAGTAGAGAGTATGGGGAAGTAGGAGGGTAGCAAACAGCTGGATTAGGCGTCGTGAAATTGCGGCGTGTGCAACCGCACCGCACAACTGCTAAAGTGCGGAACAATGCAATTTGATGTATTTGTACGGATCGATTACCAAACACCGAAATTTCACGACGCCTATCAGCTTTTGTTACCGCCTCCATACTTCACCCATAACGGCTCTCTACTCCCGGTCGCTGGTGAACGCTGGTGGACGCTGTTAGACACTGGCAGACGCTAGATCGATACCTATACTTCCCTAGCCCTCGAGATGCTGCTGTTCGCCCGTGGACGCAGGCAGACGCTGGAGGGCGCTGTCGCCAAGTATGAACGCAGCCTGTAGCGCCTTCGCTACGTCCTGTGAAGCCGCGAAAACGGGACAGTCGTAACTGAGGGTCAGACTACTCGTACAAGTAAGGACGCCTACTACTAATTGCCTGAGTACGGAGACTGTCTTCGAGTCGAAAGGAAACAAGGACTACTCACTGACTGAATAGAAGATTAGATGCAAACGGTGCTTTCGCTTGGAAAAAGGAGAATAATATGTATTAGTAGAGGTCAGGAAAAAAACCTGTTCAGACGTGCTGTGTGGAAAAGCGTGTTGATCTCACACAATACTTCCACAGGTTTTTGTTCGGTAATTAAAAAGTAATTGAGATTCACAGCAGAAAACGTTACACAGGCTTTTGCGTATGCAAATTAATTCCAATTCAGTTGATGTTTTCGATGCCCTCTAAGCTAAGCTCTTTGCTCTTCTTCAAGCCCATAAGCCATAACGTATGAAAGGGCATTTTGAAAGAACTGAATGGCAATTGAAATTCAGAATCAGAATGAATGTGATTGTTCATTAGGCTGCTAACCCCGACCAGAGCCAAGCATGCGTCAAGAAACCTTCATTGCTAGGTAGTATTTCGCTGGGAAAAGGGGAGGGGGCGTACGGAACCTTTTGAGAAGTATTTGATCTTTGGTTTTTCCTGTTTTAGGCACGTTACGTATCCGGCTAGACAGCTGCGCTCTGATGAGGTAACTTTACTATTTATTATAGTTGATCAGAGCTCACTCTTCCCCCCCCCCTCTTCTCGGCAAAAGTTTTTGATTGTTTCTTGTGGTGATTGTCAAATCGAAAGTAAAAGAAGGAAATCTGGGGGTGCTACGCACTTGAAGACATATGGCACGATTTGGTACTCGGTCTGAAATGCTAGCAGAGTGCTATATAGGGGGAAAATGGCGAAAAAACGAAGTGAAACGGTCAAAACCTGCGAAGAAAGCATTCATTTCTGATGACTCAAAAAGCAATTTCGGACGAGTTTCCGTTGGCATCTTGCCAATAACCGCTACGGTAGATACGGCTGCACGTATGTACTCATATATCCATGCAGCACCGCGGCCGCTTCATGTCAATCGCTTCATATTTTACTTCGCAAATGAAGCAATACGAGCATCAGGTACGGTCGTCCATTTGTGGGCGGGCGGGCGCGGTGGGCGTTCGGGTCGGTATGTTGCAGCTTGATAGGACCTTATAAGGGTTGGAAAAGGCGCTACGCGCTAGCGCCTGACCAGGTGCGCGGAGTTCCGTCCAGCCAGGCGTATTAATCTTACTCGTCTTGGGGACTCATCGTGCCAACTGCCTTTAAATATGAGGAAGTTGGCTAGGAAATTTTCAATTGTCTTCTTCGACGCCGTGCTTGACCTTGGCTTGAACAGGGCTCTATAAAGAGGACTAACACTTTGTCGTCGATGATGACACCAGAAAGTTACTTTTCGACTGATTGGAATGTGCAGCCAACTAACATGAAATTCAACACTGTAGAAATGCAACATGCAGGAATATTTCATTTTTCACAGATGTGATGCAATTTCTACACACAAAAATTTTATGTTTGCAAATGTGTAGTGCGGTAGTCAGGAGAAATAGCTGCCTCATGCAAATATTTAAATGTTATTTCTAAATATTGTAAAATATTATGCGGAATCTCACAAGTTACTGACTAACGGTGAAGGTTTTTTTGGAATTTTGTACAATAAGTGGATTTAGTGAACAGTAGAAACATCATGGAAAAGGAGTACTGCATAAATACATCAGTGTCGCTCGCTGGGTATGATCAGGCATGTCAGTGGGGTCAGGTTTGGCGCTGTGTCAACCAGTTTTCTTTTCTTTCGGCAATCGACAAGACGGTATCATGTAGTTTCTATCAGTCGTTTTCCATCGATTGCGAAGAACTTTCTGGCACCGCGCCGAACCCAGCCTCACTGACACGCCCCATCACTCGCAGCGAATGAGACTGTTAGGTTTTGTTAGGATATCTTGCATTCGTTTTAAAGAAAATGTCAACATTAGTATAAGTGCCAGCATCTTAGTAATACTAAAGTTAACGCTCTCGGCTATTTTGATTACAATACCAATTCCTGAAGGAAAACGATAGCAGTTGAAGGGTAGATATTAAACGCTGATATTCTGCAATTTGAAGGAGCCGGGTTAAATTAAGCGAGAGCAGCCGGATGCAAAAAGGTCATTAATTCTATGAACTCTAGCTATTATGAATTAAAAGACCAGCTAATCACGTAGCCTGAACGCAGAGAAAAGGAAATTAGATGAATAAACGAAGAAAAATTGAAAAGAAGGGAAAAGTTGCACAACTTCTCATACCCCGGTCTACAGCTATTGAATTTTGGCAATCTTTTTAGTTTTTAGTTATTTTTGTGCAGTTGTCACCTTGATTTTCCATAAAATCAGAAATCTTTATGGGAGGCGAGTTTCATTCAGTTATCTCGAAGAACATCATATTTCAACAGCACGTGGACTAGAATGAAAGCAACCGGGGGTATGCAGCCGTAAAATGAGCCGACGATGAGCTGAGAAGCAATTACGAGAAAACAGCAAGACCAAATTAATTGCTGGCTTGAATGAAAAAGGAATTGAGATAAAAGGAAACTTGACTACGTATTAAGTCTATAGGATGTCAACACGCGACGGTGTCTATCTGAAGGACCATCTAAAGGTCCAAAAATCAAAAAAATACCTATTGAATTCGGGAAGATATGAGTCTAAAAAGGTTAGTCACACAGTCGTCCATAGCAGCTACTACAGTGAGTAAGAATGAAAATTTCTGGGTGCTAGTTGATAAAAGCACCCTAAATAGTCATTTTCCCAGTTGACGTTGAGCATTGGCTGAGCGCAAGAGGAAGCGAGAGGCGAAGAAACACTGCGAGCATGTGAGAGACATCAGAGTAGAAGGATGAGATAACAGAGGAACGAACTAGACGACAGACACGTTACAATCAAAATGTCCTGTACTTCCATGGAGTCACCAAGTGGTGGGTGGGGTTTCTTGGTCTTGTGACGGCTTTCATTCCTTGTCACCAACATTAGAGCAGCAAAAGTGGTACAAAATCTGTAAATGTACCGAGCTACCTTTTATAGGAAAAGGGTTCTACTTATCAGGTAAACCTGTAATATGCTCTCGAATTGTACTGGCCAAATTGCTTTTCCCATATCAATAACGAAAGGGAAGTAAGCAGTCTCTTAAACAGTTCGAAGAGGGGCAAAATACGGACCCTCTGCTTTGAGGGATCAATAATACGAATGTGCAAAGAATTACGAATACCCATAAATGAACTTCCTAAGATTGCTGTAATTTGACTCGGCTTAGGTTCCGGCTTGTTTCCCGATTTTTCAGGCTCTGAAGAAGGCGAAGAACATAAGCTGAGTTAATTTATGACTCAGTAAAGTATACTCGTACTGATACTCGTGCTGGAAAGCCGATCGTGGATTGCTCAAAAAAGGCTCAAGCCTTTCTCATTGGATGCATTCTTGCACCTGCCTATGAATCACACTGAAACAGTAGTCAATCTCCAGTAGTGTTATTACTTCCCCTTCTTACTGGGAAGTAACAACTTTGATAAGAACATCGGAGAACTAAAGATCAGCACTAAACAAGCCTTCTTACTCGTTTTTGTGCTCTCTTGTTCCTTTTGTGAAGCCTTTCTCAAAGAACGATGACGTCTCCTTGTCCCTAGTTCGGAAGATAGAGCCTTACTCAGGGCGTGGCTCTCTCGGCTATTCCTCCTCCGAGGTATATCAACTGGTCGACACTTTTGTTTTCAGGCATCCCTTATATAATGCTTACAATACCGAAGTGTG